TTTTTTTTTTTTTTTTTTTTAAACTAAGAGTTGGAATGAACATAGTTCAACCATCTGACTGCAAGGGGAGGGGATGTCTATCAGCCCTATTCATCATGGCTAATGAGGCAGGATTCTTGAATTATCAAAGTTTTCCCTATTAACCATGAATCACAATAAAGTGCCTTTCTGAGCGATTAAAAAAACCGTATAACTGAAAAAGAACAATTGTACAGTGACTTCATAAAAGGCTCTTTAAACAGGCATGGCCACTCCTACTCCCTCAACTCTATTAATGCAGCATCACAAAGGTCATATTTGAGTGATGCCATGTGCTATAAGAGGCAGTATTTGAGCAAGCTGAGCATCTGGTTGCAGACTATATGAAGGTGAAAACAAAGACATTATGCACCCTTGCCTAAACAGTTTTATTAAGCATAGGGAACAAGACATTTATTTAGTAGTGCCGTGGAAGTTAACACCATTTCTACAGCAGCAAATCCTGTGTTCTGCAGTATTTACCAATACAACGTAACATAATCCTACAAGACAGTTAAGGGGCTGTTTGCTATTTCTGGTACTATAATTAGGCCTTTTGTGCTCCTCTGTAACTTTTGTTGGGTTTTGCAGGAACCCCTCCAACCAACAGTCAAAAACTAACTGGATTGGAAACTAAAGCTCTGACATCAAGGTAAAGCTGATTAACTGTGTATATCACATGCATTAGCACTGAACAGTGAAAGCAATTATAGAAGATTCAAGAATTTAACAAATTTAGTGACACTAACCTTATGAATCATTTGAGAGTCTTGCAAAAGAATCAGTTGACATGTGGGAGTTAAAGCCTCACAATTCTGTCTACCCCAGGACAGTGTTTAGGCCATACTACAATTTTACTTTTGCTGTGTACATGCCAGTTTCTATAGGTTCTCTCAAATTTACCTTCAGAAGACAAATAAAGTACAGCCCAAGTTTTTCACCCTGCTGATGGTACTCCACAGTCCACGGGGCTCTTGTGCTAGACCACGTTTACCATAATTGCCCCATTAAACACATGGCATGGGAAAGATTGCGTTACATCACTGAAAAACACGCTGCGAGGTAAAGGGCACAGGGATTTTCTGCCCACCAGCTGCTCTTTAGTAATTGTTCATTTGTACATATTTTCCCCACAGCAGGTGAAAAGTAAATTGCAGTATCTTAGCTTTCACGCCAAGAGAGCTGCCAAGAGTAGTTAACATAGCAAGTTCCCATCCCCTTTATCTTGTAGCTCATCTACATACTTTGTCAACCAACACTTGACAGGCAGATATCTCATTAAAAAAACCCAATGATTAAGAAAGTAGGTTCTGATAGTGGTAGAAAGAGAGAGGCTATAGCCAACTAGGGGGGAATGGGTGTGTAAGAATATCAGCTCCAAAATGGTATGCCACGGCATGACCTTCCTGGAGATGAACAACTGTAGCCTCCATAAGCTTCCTATGTACAAATTCAGCCATACTCATTACTTCCAGGAAGTCACTGCAGTTTGCACAAGCCAAGCTTTGACATACAGAGACTACCTGTAGGAGAGAGTTATATCTCAAGTGCATTTCAAGTCAAGTTACAGATCAAGAGCTCAGAGATTCTGCATGTCATAATCTCTGTATACAAGAGTACTTGGGTAACCACTTAAAAGTGATCTCACACACACTCTGCTGCTGTTCTCCCCAAATAAAGGCAGAACTGAATTGGGTACATCTGAGAATTTTGAAGAGGTTTCAGATCAGTTGCCCAAATGCAGTACTTCCTAGGTTACACCGTATATTTGGAGACAGGACTTGAAATGTCCAATGCTGTATAAAGCAGACCTCTACTGCTTTACCAAGTAGCATGCTGAAGTAGTCCTCTTGAAGTCATTCAAGATTCATGTTTCCAGGCTCCTTGCCACCAAAATGTAGGCTGATAAAAACACAGGCGGTTTTAGAACCAAGAATTATTCAAGTGTAGGAAGTCATAAATGACACTGATCAGATAAAAGGGATCTGTAACAAGATTTGGCTATTTTTCCAGCCAAAAGAGCTTTAATAAAAGTGGGAGGACAGAAAGAACATTCAGTTTTGTGTTAAAAACACACCAGACCTCCCCCTTTCCCCCCCAAACTAAAAATTTTGCTCGCAACATTCTGTACTGTTAGTATGACCATTTAGCAAAGAAATACCATGTACAAAATAGTCAGGTTAAAACTTTCCCCAGAACCACGAGATGCTGCAGTACTAATCTCCGTCCACCAAGAACCACAAAGGGAAAAGGAAACAACACATTTGGTTCTTTGAACGTATTCCCCAAGTTCTCCCAAAGCCTTGCAAAGCGGGACAAGCCCAGCAACAGCAGACTAATGCTCAGCGCTCTCAAGAACCAAAAAAAAAACCTGGCAAGTCCTCCTAATGCTCCACAGGCAAATTCTACAGTTTTACACTTGCATGCCACCATAGACCACAATATATTTACACACAGCCAGGACTCTCGTAAGTGGGTACCAGCACTTTTGGCACCTAGGTCATTACATCTGGCACCCATTTTTCAAAGGCTTCAGTCCTTGTTAAGGAAGGCTTGAGACTCCAAGAATATTACTGCTTTACAGAGTTAGCTTGGATTCTTTACTGACAAGATTTTCTCCAGGTGTTTAGACCACATTCTTCCTAGGATTAGGATTCTGCATCTTGCTAACAAACAGAGACAAAAGCTCTGTTTCTGTACTTCTATTGAGTTCTCCTATCTCTCTCAGATAAACCCCAGTGAGAACGTCACTGGTCCAGCCAGCAAGGACAGTACCAATGAAGTACCAGGAATACTCTGGAGGACTGGAAGGACACTTACTGCACGAACCCCAATTAGTAACTCTTAAAGTCCTTTAATTACAGGCAGTCCTCAGACTTACGACACAATTGGTTCCTGAAAACTACGTTTTAAGTCGTAATGCTCTAACTCAGAACCAATTTTCTCATAAGAAACAATGTTATAAATGGGGAGTTGGTTCCTGAACCAAGGCCCGATACCCTATTTTCACCAAAAATACCCCAGAATTTTGTACTCGGTCAATTATAGATGAGTAATACAGCTACATTAAATGTATTTATATTGTAAATAGCAATCATATTGATTTGGAAGGACTTCTTTGAGGTGACTTTGCTGGACTTCAAAGGTTCTTGGCTGTAGGTTTTTCTGGAGTCTTGCCTGCTTTCTTAAAGAAAAAGTGTCCTAGGAAGTTTGGACAGATGTTCTCCAAGGAGATGGGCAATGCGGCAAACTTGTTTGCTGGCATGGCATTGCATCGGAACAAGCATCGTAAAGTCGAAACTGACGCTATAAAGTTGAAACAGGGTGTCAATTTATAAACGTTGTAGCTCAAAACATTGTAAGTCGAGGACTGCCTATACCATTAGGGGTGCACCAACAGAAATTTTTTGGGTCAATACCAATGGCTGATTTGGCCAATACTTGCCAGGCAGATGCTGCTGTCCACACTGCCAGGCTGTGCTCCTGGCCGCCTGGCATGCTGCGCTGCAGCAGCACACATGGACGGGGCGTTCATCTGCAACATTAATCGACCACATCAGCCAAAAAAAAGCTGATTGCCAATAATGGCAATTTTCCTTAAATCACCGATAATACAATATGGGACCAATGTATCAGTGTATCTCTAAATGTCATTGAGATTTTGATTGGATACTGATGAGAGTAACACTAAGCTTCACCCACAATTTGTGTGGTACTGCCCTGTTCAAGGTAAGGCAAGAATTTTCTGTGGTAGCTTTTATTGGACTAACTACATGGTTGGGAAAGACAAGATTTTCAGTAGGGCCATGGGGCAGCTGTTGTGCAGGTGCCAAGTGAGGTGGGGAGATCCCTGCTGCCCCCTGCTGTGCATGGGGGCTCTGCCATGAGTGCCCAGAGGCCCCAATCACCACTTCTGCAGCCAGTGAGCGCAGGACTTTTCTTTCTTTTTTTTCTTTTCTTTTTTTTTTTTTTTAAGTGCTGGGACTAGGTTGGGGCTAGGCAAGGAGTGGGGCCAGGCAGGGCAGGGAAGCCACGGGGGCTTCTCCCGCAGCTCTGCCCACCCGGAAAGAGGCAGGCACAGTCAAAGAAGCTGAAGCTGCCCGGTTGTGCCTGCCTCTCCTTGGCAGATCTGAAATCACTGAATTTCTTCAAATCAGCACCATATCTTCCAAAGCTGATTCAGCTGAATTAATTCAGGACACCAATCCAAATCTCCAAATCAAATCTGTCCTCCGAATCAGTCAAATCCAAATCAAATACTTCCCTACTGGCACAGGCCTACTTTTCAGTAGGAGTGTACTGATAGAGATTTTTGGGGCCGATACCAACAGCCGATATTTATAGTTATAGTTTCATAGTTAGTAGGGTCGGAAGCAACCTGAGCAGATCATCAAGTCCAACCCCCTGCCATGGCAGGAAAAAGTACTGGGGTCAAACAACCCCAGCAAGGAGGCATATTGGCCAATACCAATCCTATTTCCAATACAGCTGCCTCCAGCTGGCAAGTCTGGTGTGGTGGAAGGGGAGGGGGGAGGAAAGGGGCATGGGAGGAGGGCACATCAACCCCCCCCACCCCCCATGGTGAGGGAGGGGGCAGGGACAGGGGCAGGCACTGCCCAGGCAGGGGGGGAGCGCGAAGCTGTGGTTCGTGGCAGGAGGTGGCTCTTGCTGCTGCTTGCATCCTGGGAAGGCACGGGGGATGGCATGTGGACCCCAGATCTGCACACAGCAGGTCAGACTGCAGCCAGGTCTGCGCAGGGTTCTTCTCAGCAGGGCCTGGGCTCGGAGCAGGCGCCAATGATGCTGGAAGGATGCTGCATCCACCCCAAA